TCTGTTGGGGGTGCTTTGATTGTGTGTGTTCCTGCACATGGCAGGAGGGGGCTGGATTGGATGGCCTGTGTGGTCTCCTCCTTCCGCCTTGTGTTGTTGTGATTCTACAAATTGGGGAGGTTATGATGAGGCCTTCCTGCCCCTCACGGCCTGTTCCTCTGTGTCTCATTCTGTCTCTCTTGGCAGGAGCTCTTTGAACTCTCGGTGAGTACCTCCTTCTCCCCTTCCGCGGTGTGCCCCCCTCCTCTTCCTCCCCCTCCCCCTCTTGACCATCTCCTCCTCCTCCTCCTCCGGCCACTGGCCCTCCAGTCCGGCTACGAGATTGGGATTGTGCGGCAGTTCCCCTTCTCCTCGGCCCTGCAGCGGATGTGTGTGGTGGCCCGGGCCCTGGGGCAGAAGCGCATGGACGCCTATGTCAAGGGGGCCCCCGAGGTGGTGGCCGGGCTCTGCAAGCAGGAAACAAGTGCGTATGATGGGGAGTGGGGAGAGGAAGTGGAGGGTGCCTGGCACTCTTGCATGGGGGTGGGGGGTGTGTGTCCCCTTTTGTGACCGACTTCTCCCCGTCTTCTCCTGCCAGTCCCCCATGACTTTGAGCGCGTCCTGGAAGAGTACACCAGGCAGGGCTTCCGGGTCATTGCCCTCGCCCACAGGAAGCTGGAGTCCAGGCTGACCTGGCACAAGGTCCTGAACGTGGGCAGGTGAGTTGGCGCCAAGGGCACCTGGGGGCCCACAACCCACCTCCCCCAGCCCCTTGTCTACTCTGCTCCAGAGAACGGGGTCTGGGTCATGTCTATAATTCATGCCAATAGCACTGTGATGTCCTCGTGTGGCACCTGAATGGTCTGCAGTATCCGGGGGGGGGGGGGGGGGGGGGGGAAGGAAGCAGAGCCTCCTTTAGACTTGAAGGTCTCTGCCCAGTCCACTGGACATCACACCACATCACTTTCGGCCCTTGTTTTGGGGAGATTTTGAGGCAAGAGAGAGTGAGGAGGACAAGGGCCTGCAAATAGGTGTGCAACTGCAATGTTTTCTTCAGTCTGGGGCCATGTTTAGGGGGGAGGAGTTCTGTACAGGACGTGGGGCTCGCTTTGAATGACTTCCTGGAAGCTTTGGGGGTCAGGTTTTGCTTGCCCCCACTTTGGCAATCTTTGGGAGGAGCTTGAAAACGTGGCTGTTCCAGTGTGCCTTCCCTGAATGAAGGAAACAATGCCCGATCTGACCAATTTCCTTCCTTACGTCCTGTGAAGTACTTTATATCTCCATTGGATTGATCCCCCCCCCCCCATATCCCTCTTGGAAACCCCCATGCCTAGACATACCCTACTCTCTACACACCCAGGGTTTTAACATTTTAATCTACACCTGGCCCAGCCATAATGTTTTTAAATCTTTTGTGTGTTATTCCTTATATGTTTAGTTATATTATTTATATTGCTTTATTTGCTTGCTTGTTTTGTTGATGTATTGTCGTATCTGTATTTGACGGTCTTGGCCTCATTTTGCCCGCATTTTTTAATTTTTATTTTTTTAAAAATTATTACAATTGGTCCGCCATAGGTTTTTAATGCGTCGTGGTGTTATTGTTACTTTTTATTGCTTTGTTTATGAGTTTATTTATTGTCTGTATTGTTGTTGTTGCTTTTTATTGATGTATTTGGGCTCGGCCTCTTCTAAGCTGCACCGAGTCCCTCAGGAGATGGTACCGGGGTTTAAATGGTACCGGGGTTTAAATAAAGTATTATTATTATTAGGTTCTAGTGGGTTTTTTCGGGCTATAGGGCCATGTTCTAGAGGCATTTCTCCTGACGTTTCGCCTGCATCTATGGCAAGCATCCTCAGAGGTAGTGAGGTCTGTTGGAAATGAGGTTTATATATCTGTGGAATGGCTGGGGTGGGGCAAAGAGCTCTTCTCTGCTGGAGCTAGGTGTGAATGTTTCAACTGACCACCTTCATTAGCATTTGAAGGCCTGGCTGAGCCTGGGAAAATCTTTTGTTGAGAGGTGTTAAGATGTGCCTGGTTGTTTCCTCTCTGCTGTTTTTGCTGTTGTAATTTTAGAGTTTTTTAATACTGGTAGCCAGATTTTGTTCATTTTCATGGTTTCTTCTTTCTGTTGAAATTGTCCACATGCTTGTGGATTTCAATGGCTTCTCTGTGTAGTCTGACATGGTGGTTGTTAGAGTGGTCCAGCATTTCTGTGTTCTCAAATAATACGCTGTGTCCAGGCTGGTTCATCATCATCATCATCATCATTATTATTATTATTATTATTATTATTATTATTATTATTATTATTATGTAAGCCGCCTTGAGTCCCTTCAGGGAGATGGTGGCGGGGTATAAATAAAGGTTTATTATTATTTTATTATTATTTATTTACAGCTTTTATATTCCGCCCTTCTCACCCCGCAGGGGACTCAGGGCGGATTACAGTGTACACATATATGGCAAACATTCAATGCCAATTTTTGACATACAACATATACAGACATACACAGAGGCTATTTAACTTTTTCTGGCCGCCAGGGGAGCTGTCGCTTTCATCGTCCATCTGCGACACTGATGAAGCACGTCCGCATTCCCCGCATGCTTCCCCGCTGGAATGCTTTGCTGGAGTCTTCTTTATGGCCTCATAAATCAGTTAATTTAGCCTCCCCACACTTTTTTAAGGTGGTACCTTATTTTCCTACTTGACAGATGCAACTGTCTTTCGGGCTGCAAAGGTCGACAACAGGCTATATACAATTGTTTGGAAACCCACTCCAACCCGGGCTGGCTTATTATTATTATTATTATTATTATTATTATTATTATTATGTAAGCCGCCTTGAGTCCCTTCGGGGAGATGGTGGCGGGGTATAAATAACGTTTTATTATTATATTATTCTTATTATTGACACACTGGACACGGGATTTCTAGTTGGGCCTGACAGGGTCCGAGGCACTTCCGCCTGCTGACCCAGGGGGAGCATCCTTGGCTGAGGAAAGGGGGGGGTGGGGCTTCCTTGTCCACTCCCTCACAGACCCCTCCCGAGTGTCTGCTCCCAGGGGCTTCTTTCCTGGCCTTGCCTGGGTGCGGTGTCTCCTTCTGCCCTCTGAGCTCACCCTGGAGCTTCTCTACCTGAGGGCCCTCCTTGCTCCACGCTTGGCATCCGGCCTCACCTTTGTGGGCTGACTGAGTGTCCAGCTCCCTAACAGAGTCCCCGCTCTCTGCAGAGACACCATTGAGGCCAACATGGACTTCCTGGGGCTCATCGTGATGCAGAACAAGCTCAAGCCGGAGACTCCCTCCGTCCTGGAAGACCTGCACAGGGCCAACATCCGCACTGTGATGGTCACAGGTTGGTGAACGCCGGAGGCAGGAAGGCAGGAAGGCAGGAAGGCGTAGCGGTCCTCTGGGGTCGAGGTGGTGGGGTGGATGATGGGAACACCGCCCGTGCCCCTTTACGGAATCCCCAGGCCAGGCCCTCCTCCCTCTGTGCCCACCTGTAGAGGAGGGGGAGGTGTGTGGGCATGTTTGTGAGAGGGGCAGAGGCTCCCATCCCTGGGCAGTGGCCTGTCAGGCCAGCACCTGAGGGCAAAGCTGCTTCCTTGCCCAAAGGTGAGGGTTTCCTGCTTCTTGGTAGAACGGGGCTGGACTGGTCCCTTCCAACTCTAGGATTCTGGGTGAAGGGAGAGGCTGTCCCTTGGGGCAGGAGGGGCCCAGCTCCATCCCGGCAACTGCCAAGGGGTCCGGCCCTGCAGGTCCCTGGGAGAGAGGGGGGGAGGGAAGGAGGGAGGGAGGGGGCTCTGGGAAGGACGGGCCAGAGCAGCGCCCCTTGACCAAGGCCCAGTTTAGCGGGCTCTTCCCAGCCCTGCTTTGGATATTAATGCACCACATTAATATCCAATTAATGCTTAATTAATTGTTTAAATGTTTTAATGTATTATTGAAATGTTTTATGAAGGTGATGTCACCGTAGGGTGTTTGTTGTGAGGCCGCCCTGAGTCCCCCCACCCCCCGAGCGGTGTGTGTGTGTGTGTGTGTGTGTGTGTGTGAGAAGGGCGGGGTGTAAATATAGGAAATAAATAATAAATAAGGAGTGAAATACTTGAGCCAGGCAAGTGGGACAAGGGGGCTCCTCTCCTGGCACCACAGCCTTGCTATGGGCCCAAACGCCTCCTGGCTCCCTGTCCCGGTTCTGGTCCAGCTAGTTTTGGCCTGCAAATTGTGTCCTTGGGTTTGGCTTGGTTTTGGCCCGGCGTCCTGCGGGTCGGGGTGAATTCTTCCTGTGAGCAGTAAACAGCATGAGGTCATTCTGTTTCCTTTGTCAGCCACAAACCGGAATCCTGGGATCATAGAGCTGGAAGCAGCAATGATGGAAAGGGGTTTTGCTTCAAGTTCCGTGGGGCATTGCATTTTGAAAGGATTCAGTGGCAATTTGGGGGGCGGTTTGTCAGCATTTTGTACCCAAAGGTCAGCCAGGACAGAATAGTCATAAGCGGGGCTGGGCTGGGGCTCGGGGGCCCAGGTCATGGGCGGGGGGGGGGGTGGGCAAAACAAGCCCCTCTTGGCCTATTCAGGCCAATCTCCCTTCACCAGGGCAAGAAAACATAACCAAAGTCCTCCTGACAAAGAGCCATGCATCCATAGATCTAGATAGATAGATAGATAGATAGATAGATAGATAGATAGATAGATAGATAGATAGATAGTAAAGTGATGGACCTAAGAGAGGCCTAACTTCATGTCTCGATAGGTAGGTAGGTAGGTAGGTAGGTAGGTAGGTAGAAGAGTGATGGATGTAAGAGAGGAGTACCTTCAGGTTCCAATAGAAAGATAGATATCTAGGACAGAATAGTGGTGCTGGGCTGGGGGCCCAGGTCATGGGGGCTTGGGGGCAGATAAGCCCCTCTTGGCTTGTTTGGAGCCATCTAAGTGAGAGGAGGGGGCAGGGGTGCAGTTGAGGGGGGCGGGGGTTCAGAGTCCCTTTGGGGTAGAGTTCTGGGTCCAATTGGGGGAGGGCATCCTGGATCGTTAGATAAATAAAGAATAGTGATGGACCTAAGAGAGGCCTACCTTCAAGTTCCGATAGATAGATAGATAGATAGATAGATAGATAGATAGATAGATAGGAAGGACAGACTAGTGGTGCTGGGCTGGGGCTTGGGGGCCCAGGTCTTGGGGGAACAAAGAAGCCCCTCTTGGCCTATTTGACCAGTTTGACACCTCCTTCCCCTCCCCTCCCCTCCCCTCCCCCTCCCTCTGCAGGGGACAACATGCTGACGGCCATCTCGGTGGCCAGGGACTGTGGCATGATCCGTCCCCAGGAAAAGGTCATTGTGGCCGAAGCGCAGCCCCCCAGGGATGGGCAGCCGGCCAGGGTCAACTGGCATTATGCCGATGCCTTGCCCAGGGGCCCTGACCCCTCGCCCACCATCGACACAGAGGTCAGTCCTTGCCGGGCCACTGGCTTGGGGAGGGGGGGGGCTAGTGGTGTGGGGCTCTGCACTGCCCCCCCCCTGGTTGGAATGAAGGGGTGGGAGGAGGGTGGTCTCTCATTTCCTTCTGGAGACAATGAGGAAGAGGTGGAGGGGAAGGGGAGGAGGGGCACGAGTATCATCAGGCATGGTTGTTGTTGTTGTTATTTCTAAAAAGAGGCCCAAAGTGGCTGAAAGTAAAAACAAGTCCAGGAGGTGGGAAAGGTTGCCAGGACCCTTTCTGGAATCCCCCCCCCCCAACTTCCTCAGTCCTGGAGGGAGGAGGCAGAAGGCAGCGAGTGACCAAAGAACTGACCATGTTGGCCTGCCGGCTGCTGCTGCCCCCCCCCCCCCCCCGTCCTGCAACAGTTTGAGGCATATGCTTCCTGTGTCACAACAAACATTTCTGTCCTTGGTGGTCTATGAAGCTTGCCATGAAAGCTGGGGATGTGCCACGGGGGGCAGTGGGGGTGGGTGGGGGAGCTGCCCCTCTCCTTCACTTAGATCAGGCTTGGCTGCTGGTGGGCATTTCCTGCGCCGAGTGGCCCCTGGGGCCCCCTTCCAACCGGAGGACCCTGTCCTGCCTTCGTCCCCTGGGCCACACTGACTGGAGCTGATGGGAGTGAGTGGGGGTCCAGGAGCCACTGGAGGCATCCTGCCCTTTGGGGTCACTTCAGACCCTGAGGCCGGCAAGTCCCAAGATGCCTTGAAGCTGAGCCTGACCCCTGGGGCAGGCCTCCCCCTTCCGGCCCTCCTTCCGGTCAGAGGAGGACCCCAAGCCTTGACCCTGCGCCCCCTGCTTCGTCTTAAACGGCAGCAAGTGCCCGGCTGCTTTTCCCGAAGGAGAGCGGAGGGAGGCCCTGATCTCGTTCGCTGTCTGCCCTCTTCCCTTCCAGGACGTCCCCATCAAGGTGGCCCAGGGCAACGGCTTGGAGGACCTCCTTCCGGCCGCGGCCAGGTTCCACTTCGCCATGAACGGGAAGTCCTTCGCCGCCATCCAGGAGCACTTCGCGGATCTCGTCCCCAAGGTCCGTGTCCCACGGGGTTTGGTGGGAGGGAGGGAGGGAGGGAAGGAAATGGGGGTGCAGAGGGAGGGTGGGGCAGAGCGCCAGGTGGGGTGGGAGAGGCAGCCGGGCAAGGACAGCTGGAGGGGCATCCACCCCCATTCCCACCCCCACGTATCTGATGCCTCAGGTGCAGAAAGGACAGCAGGGGTCACTGCCTTGTTTAGCTCTCTGTGGAGAAAACTCCCAGACAGAGATGTCCTTTTTCCTCCCAGGGGGAGCCCACCATTCCCAGGGCTTCTTTTTCCTCTTGGGGGGGGGGGGACTGCTCTCTCTCTCCCCCCCCCCCCCCCAATGCCGCAGCGCAGTTTGATAATTGAGAGCAACAGGTCACTAGTATGACATTCTGGCCAGTGGTGGCCTCTAAGGAAGCCCCTTCCCCACAAGGCACACCAGCACTGACACCCCCACCCCACCCCCCCCAGTGTGTAGTTGCTTCAGGCCTTGGGGGGGGGCTTCCTCCTCCTCCTCCTCCTCCTCCTCTTTGGCGGGACCCTTGGGAAAGCCCTTTGGCCTGGTTCCTGGCAAGAAGCAGTGCTTTCTCCCTCACCGGGGCGGGGCTCCTTCAGGTGGGCATCCCAAAGAAGGGGAGACTTTTCTCTTCCCCATTCCAGTTCCCTTTATGGGGAAAGGGGAGTTTCAATTAAGCACACCAATCATAGTGCATTCTGCTGCTGGTTGTCCCGCAGGGAGAGAGACCCCCCCCCCCCCCGGTCTTCCCGTTCTCTTGGGTGGGCCTTTCCTGCCCCTTTCCCCCAACGCAGTGGGCAGGCGAGGAGTGGGCCCCAGGAGAGTGTCCCCAGTTTCTGCACAAGGCTGAATCCCTCCCCCTCCCCCTCCCCCCCATGTAACCCAAGGCCCCCTCTTGCCTGGGGGGGGGCAGGGCATCTCCTGGGGGTCTTCTGGGTCTCCCAGTGGACTCTGCTAAGAGCGCGGGCTGTGTTTTCCAGCTTGTGCTGCATGGCACGGTCTTTGCTCGCATGGCGCCGGACCAGAAAACCCAGCTGGTGGAGGCTTTGCAAAGCGTAGAGTAAGTATGGCCCCTCCCGCTGCCGCTGCCTCGGGTCGAATGGTGCCCTCATGCCTGTGGAAGGGGTTGGATTGGGGGACCCTTAGGATCTTTTCTGGCTGTAGGATCCTAGGCTTCTGCTCCGTTGGGATTGCTGCCTTTGCACTGGGCCACCGGGTCAAGCAGCCACTCCAACATCTGGGGGTGTCATCATTTCTAAGGCAGTGTTGTGGCTGTGGGGAAAGGGAAGGGGGGGGGCACTTGGCAGGTAGACGCTTCTCCAGCAAACTGCTCCCAGCGTGTTGGATCCCCCTTTGTGGGGCGAGCTGAAGAGGCCGCTGCTCCACCTTTCCTGGGGCACGCTGCCCCACTGCGGGGAATTGGTGGGCTCCTCACGTCTTCTGATATGAGAAAAGGGGCACGACAACTGCCCTTGCACCCCCAGCTGGAGGGGGTGGGGGGAACAGCCTGCCCTTCTCTTTGGCAGCAGAAGGCCTCCTCCCCTTGCATGGCAATAATGCACCCCCCTCCCCGCCCCCAAATGTGAGGCCCTGGAGGTGTTTTGCTTCTTGCTGGGAGGGCATTCTTCTTCTTCCCACCTGAGACAACACTTCAAATGTCCCAGAAATGTGCTGTTGATCTTCCCTCTCTTTCTCTTGTGCCCCCCTGGGGCTTGTGCAGAGAGAAGGGGGCATGCGCATTGGGCTCAGGGGCCTCTCTGCTCGGCTGTGTGTTTTGCATTGCTCCCATAAGCAGCATGTAGTCCCAGCCCTCTCGTCACCCCACTCGCTCTCTGCAAGAGATGAAAGGGGCGGCTGCTGCCCTTCCTAATTACAGGCCCCACTTCTCTCTCTTTCTCTTTCTCTTTCTCTCTCTCCTGGAGCCACGTCTGCACCACCAGACTGGCGCACTGTTCCCTGCTCTTTGGGTGTCCTGGGAGGGGCTCTGATGAGAGGGCCAAGCGCATGCAGGAGGGGGTGTGGGGGCCAAAGGGGTGAACACGRGCCTGACTCTCCCCCAACGCCTTGTGCTTCTTGCAGCTACTAYGTGGGCATGTGTGGTGACGGCGCCAACGACTGTGGGGTGAGTGCTCCTCCTCAGCGGTGGCCTGGCTCCCCTGGGGCCCAATACCCCCCCCCACACACCTGAGGGCCGAAGTGATGCTCACTCTCCTTTCTCCCTCCTCAATGGCTAGGCCCTGAAGCGGGCGCATGGCGGGATTTCCCTCTCGGAGCTGGAGGCCTCTGTGGCGTCGCCCTTCACCTCCCGGACCCCCAGCATCGCCTGTGTCCCCAACCTCATCAGGTAGGGAGGGCCTCCTGAGTGTCCCTGCCCCCTCCAGGTGGTCTCTGCCTCCGAAACAGGCCCGTGGGAGGCAGGACAGCTCCATGACCGCAGCAGAGGCCCAGCCTCACACAGCCAAATTCTTGCCAGGTCTGACAGCTTCTGAAAACCTTCAGGATCTGTTGTTGGCGCATTGGAACATTTCCAGGGCATTGGCCCCATGGATCCCAAGGCCTCCTTCGTTACACTCTTGCTGGTCTTTTTCCTCATTGGTCAAGCAGGCAAAACGTGTCTCATTCCCCCACTTTGCATAGGAAAGGCCTTGGATAGTGAGCTGATCCCAAAACAAACCTACTTGTCCTGTGATCTGCAGGCATCTCGTTACTGAGATCAGGCTCTACTTGCAATTAGCATCAGCCTCTAGCAGCTTCTAGCATCTCCTCCAGTGGTTCTCAACCTGTGGTTCCCTCCCCTGGAGTTTTGGCCTTCAACTCCCAGAAATCTGGTAAACAGCTGGTAAACTGGCTGGGATGTCTGGGAGCTGGAGGCCAAAACCACCTGGAGAGGGACCCACAGGTTGAGAAACACTCATCTGTCTTGTCAAAGGCTTTCATGGCCGGAATCACTGGGTTGTTGTAAGCTTTTTCGGGCTATATGGCCATGTTCTAGAGGCATTCTCTCCTGACGTTTCACCTGCATCTATGGCAAGCATCCTCAGAGGTAGTGAGGTAGTTCCAAAAGACCTCACTACCTCTGAGGATGCTTGCCACAGATGCAGGCTAAACGTCAGGTGAGAATGCCTCTAGAACCTGGCCATATAGCCCGAAAAAACCTACAACAACCCAACCACTCATCTACTCACATTCCCATGAGCAACTTACACCTTTGTTAAAGGCATGTAGCTGTACAGCTCTTGATGAATAACACCACACTCTACAACGGAGCTTTCCAAACTCTGTGTGTTTGCTGCATTGTGTAGGCATATCACGCAAACATAATGACAAAGGACAAACATCTTGGAAATGTATGGTATTATCTACCTTGCAAATTATATATTTGTAAAAACAGAAGAAGTGGAAGGTTTTAATGAGATACGTTATGTTCCCATACATGTCATCATTACGCTATGTGGGTCCGTATCTCTTATCAGGGGTCGGCTTTGTATCTGGTTCGCTGGTAAGGCTGTGTTGCAAAATAATACATGTCTAAAAAATTAAGGAGCTGGGGGTGGTGACGGCCGACAGGGAGCTCTGGCATGGACTGGTCCATGAGGTCACGAAGAGTTGGAAATGACTGAACGAATGAACAACAACAACAGAAAATGTGTCACCAACAATGACATGTTTGGAAAGCTCTTCTCTGTACCAAGCTATAAATGACCAAGCGTACAGTTGTGATGTATTTCAGGAAACACAAAGTTTAAAAACTTGGCATTATATGAAAAGTCAATTGACCAGAAGCTGGCCCCTTGGAGTGCCTCTGGTGTGGCTGTCAGAAGGTCCTCCATTGTGCATGTGGCAGGGCTCAGGCTGCATTGGAGTAGGTAGTCTGCAGTTGGCTCTTCCCCACACTCACATGTCGTGGACTCCACTTTGTGGCCCCATTTCTGCATGTCATGGGCCCAGAGTGCAGCCTGTTCATCGCCTTCCAAGTTGTCCACTCTTCCGTGTGCCCAGGAGGGAGTCTCCTATCTGGTATCAGCCACGGGTTGAGGTTCCGGATTTTAGCCTGCCACTTTTGGACTCTCGCTTGCTGAGGTGTTCTCAAGCATGAAATAACAATATGATATAACAGTGTGAAGGTGTAAAGCAGGGGTCCTCAAACTTTTTAAACAGAGGGCCAGGTCGGAGTCCCTCAAACTGTTGGAGGACCAGATTATAATTTGGAAAAAACAAACAAAACCATGAATGAATTCCTATGCACACTGTACATATCTAATTTCTAGCGCAAAAAACACTTAAAAACGATACAATAATTAAAATGAAGAACAATTTTAGTAAATATAAACTTATTAGTATTTCAATGGGAAGTGTGGGCCTGCTTTGGGCTGATGAGAACTGTGAATATTGTGTCTATTGAAAAGAGAGTTGCACCGTTTTTAGATATTTAGGATGGTTGTTATTGCTGTGTGGTTTCAAGTAATTTCAGACTTAGGTTGACCCTGAGTGAAGGCCAGGTAAATGACCTTGGAGGGCCATATCCGGCCCCCGGGCCTTAGTTTGAGAACCCCTGGTGTAAAGTATGGCAGAACCTACGTGTCGGAGCCCAGCAGTTTCCTCCTGGGACGTGGCATGTCTTCTCGTGCAAAGGGTGTTCCCACGTGGGCCTCTCCCTGCCTCTGTCCGCCGAGGGGCAAATGGGGGCTGCCTTTGGATTTTGCCTCACTTTTTTTCCGCAGGGAGGGCCGCGCAGCTTTGATCACTTCCTTCTGCGTCTTCAAATTCATGGCTCTGTACAGCATCATCCAGTACGTCAGCGTCACCCTCCTTTACTCGGTGAGTAGTGTGCTGCGGAGTTACATGTTTCCTTTGTGCACGCGTGGGTGGCACCCACAAGGACAGTGGGAGACCCTTTCCTGGCTCTCTCCCTCTGGTTGGCGCAAGGGGCTCTTGCTCTGATCCTGGCAAAGTATAGCAAGACAGTGCAGTTGCATGCAGCAAAACTGTTCCCTCAGCCAGCCTTCTCTGCCTTTCTTGCAACACATGCTTTGTGGAGTAAGTTCATCGTTGAAGGAGGTCCCTGCACCTCACACGGGCCCACTTTGGCCTTTCCTCCTAGTGTTTTGGACTGGGAATTGTCAATAGGCTGTTAGGAATTGTGGGAGTTGAAGTCCAAAACACCCCGAGGGCCAAAGTTTACCCATGCCTGATCTACACAGTAAAAAGAATGCAAACTGACTCTGATTTTATTGCCATGGCTCAATGTTATTGGGTCATGGGAGTTGTAGTTTGGTGAGCGGCATCAGTCCTCTTGGGCAGAGAAGGCTACTAACCTTGTCAAACTACCCCTCCCAGGATGCCCTAGCACGGACCTAATTATTTATTTATTATTTATATACTGTATTTATATGCCACCTTACTCACCCCTGGGGGGACTCAAAGCAGTTTACACATAAATAAATAATGGCAACATTTAATGCCTTACGTTGGGCACCAATACAATGCCAGTGCAAATAATTACAATAGTAAGACCACAATTAAACATAAATCGTAATTAAAACAATACATCAGCAAGCATTAAAACAAAAAAACAAAAACAGTCCCGTCAGTCGAATTGCCGTTCCAGTCAATGTCCCTCTGAAGTGCTACATACATCTACTGTTGGAAGGCCTGGTCCCAGAGCCATAATTTTTTTTTTTCTAAAAGCCAGGAGGGAGGGAGTGGATCTTACCTCATTTGGGAGTGTGTTCCATAGGCGGGGGGCCACAGCCGAGAAGGCCCTGTCTCTCGTCCCCGCCAGACGCATCTGTGCTGTTGACGGGAGCGAGAGCAGGGCCTCCCCGGATGATCTTAGAGCCATGGCACTTAGAGGGAAGCCAGGCTGCGGCAGGTACGTCCCAGGTTGCCATCTTGGCCTCCCTTGGCCTCTCAGCTGGGCCACAAAGGCTGGCAAGGAGCAGACAGGGTGGCATCCTCTTCAAGGCAGCTCACCATATCTGTGGGCTCATGACCCATAGGCTCAGTCCAGTGGGGTCTTTCTGGCAACCAAGGCTTGCCACCGCCTCCGCTGCTGCCCACTGCTTAGTATGTGTTCATTAACATGTTGTTTAGATTTAGTTCTGTAGTATGTTGCCCTGTCTAGTCAGATGGCTGCTTACTTCCAATGATTTTATATCATGAACTCCTGCTTTGTTCCTATTGTTCTTTTTTCTTAATATTGAATTGACGTTTGCCTGAAAAGGGTCATGCAAGCGTGCTTCCCTTCCTTCCAGATCCAGAGCAACCTGGGAGACTTCCAGTTCCTCTTCATTGACCTGGCCATCATCCTGGTGGTGGTCTTCACCAGTGAGTATTGCCCCGGCCCCTGGGCAGCCATCTTCTCACTCGGAAGGAAGGGCCTTGCTGCCTCTCTCTCCTTCCTTCCTTCCTTCCTTCCTTCCTTCCTTCCTTCCTTCCTTCCAGGGATGGCCTCCACTTCCGCTTGAGCACAGACGAGTGTGTAGACCAGGCCTGGGCCAACTCGGGCCCTCCTTCCCTCCCTCCAGGTGTTTTGGACTTCAGCTCCCTCAATTCCTAACAGCTCTTGGAGTTCTTGTTGGAGATAAAGTCCAAGACACCTGGAGGGAGGGAGGGAGGGAGGGTCCAAGTTGGCTCAGGCCTGGTGTAGACCTAGATGAGTCTCGTGTCTGCCGCTTGCTGTGAGGAAGGTTTATCCCCCCACCTCATGGTGCGGCCCTTCTTCCCGCAGTGAGCCTGAACCCGGCCTGGAAGGAGCTGGTGCCACGCCGGCCACCCTCTGGCCTCATTTCGGGGGCGCTGCTCTGCTCCGTCCTCTCCCAGATCCTCATCTCCCTCGGCTTCCAGACACTGGGCTTCCTCTGGGTCCGCCGGCAGCCCTGGTACCAGCCCTGGAGCCCTCTCCTCTCAACAGAGTAAGTGGCAAGTGTGTGTGTGTGGGGGGGGGGGGTCCCTTGAGTTAGGCTCTGGCCACGTCCCAAGGGCCCTCAAAGGGGGGCTCCTTCTGTCTCCTTGCAAACAGCTCTAAGGAGGGTTCCAGCTCAGAGGTGGGCAGTGTAGGCCTGTTGGGAAACTGGGAGCCAGTGGGGCCTCTCCTGGTCAGTTTTGAGAGGCAGGCCCCTGTGTGTGTGTGTGTGTGTGTGTGGTGTTGGGTTGAGAAATGGAGCATGTGCAGAGCAACTCAACTTAAGCCTGTAGAAGAGAAAGTTGAGAGGAGACATGAGGAGGGCCATGGGTCAAGATGGGAGGGGAAGATGTCCTAGGGAGAAGGAAGAGGGAGCAGGCTTCCCTTCTGCTGCCCTGGAGACTAGGACACGATGGAGCCATAATAATATAATAATAAACTTTATTTCTACCCCGCCACCATCTCCCCGATGGGGACTCGGAGCGGCTCACATGGGGTCAAGCCCGGACAACATAATACAACAACAAAGTCAAAACATATACAGCAAACTATGGCTCCAAATTGCAGGAAAGGAGATTCTACCTGAACATGAGGAAGATCTTCCTGACTATGTGAGAACTCTCAGCAGTGGAACTCTCTGCTGGGGGTGCGGTGGAGGCTCCTTCTTTGGAGGCTTTTAAACAGAGGCTGGGTGGCCATCTGTTGGGGGTGCTTTGAGGTGATTTTCCTGCTTTTGGGCAGAATGGGGTTGGACTGGATGATGACCCACCAGGCCTCTTCCATCTCTGTGTTTCTAGGATTCTAACGCCACATGGCTGAGACCCGGGTATTTAATAATAATAATAATAATAATAATAATAATAATAATAATAATAATTCTATATAAATAAAAATGTCATGTTCGTTTGTGGGATTAACAGAACTCAAAAACCACTGGACAAATTGGCACCTAATTTGGACACAAGACACCTAACAACCCAATGTATGTCCTTCACTCAAAAAATGGATTTTGTCATTGGGGAGTTGTAGTTTCTGGGATTTATAGTTCACCTACAATCACAGAGCATTCTGAACCCCACCAACAAACCTCCCACACAGAACCCCCATGTGGGCCACAGCAACGCGTGGCAAGGGACGGCAAGTATAATAATAAAACTTTATTTATATCCCGCCCCATCTCCCCGAGGGGACTCAGAGCGGTTCCCAGGTAACATCACAAAACATACAAAGTTAAAAACAACATAACCATAAGATAAACAAAAGAAAATGTAAGCATTGAAATGGTGGCCATAACACACATCTCGTAAAAGTAATCTCTGCTCTTCTTCCTTCCCGTGCCTCCCTTCAGAGGGGCCGCCTCCTCCTTCCTTGGCCCTTGGTTGACGGATTGCCTATGTTCATGTATCTCCCCCCAACCCACAAAGGACCCCAAGGCAATCAATAAATGCAGAGATCTGTTTTTTCCAAAACCTAATTAAACTCCTCTTCAATAACCGTCTCCAATTCCTCTTCCGAGACAAATAATCAAGGCAGAGCGGTTTCCAGCTTCAGTGACCAGGTGGCACGACAAGGCCTGAGCGTCCCGCTGGGCAGAACAAGGCTTGTTTTGGACATAGCTGGCCTGCTGCCCTCTGTGCCTCGGAGGAAGGGCGGCTGGGAAAGATGCAGGGAAGGATTGTTGGGAGGGTCTCCTCATAGGTTTGGTGGGTGCAGGTTCAGAAGGGTTGGACTCCCCACGTGTTCCCCGTCGTGGTCCCTGTGAATCGCACATATGGTATTTCCTGTTCCTGGGTGTGCAGGTGAAAATGGCCCTTTGGAGGGATGATGTGGGAGGCACCGCCACAGTTACAGCCACAGTAATTATCTCTGTGATTGCACAGAGTTTGAAAGCCGCCTCCCCTTTTGTGCCAATGTTGGCAAAGCGAGTGGGTGCCTGGAGGGGGGTGAGCTGGCTTGTGCGCCAGTCTGCATGGCCCGCTCTCTGGCCCTTGTCCGCTGGGCCGACCTCTGACCCATTGGGCACCCTTGTGCCTTGCAGCCCGTGTGCTGTGCCCGGGGAGCACGTCCTGGCCAACGCCTCCTCCGCGCAGGGCCACAACGCCACCCCCTCCCACGACGAGCACAACATCCGCAACTACGAGAACACCACCGTCTTCTTCATCTCCAGCTTCCAGTACCTGATTGTGGCCGTGGCCTTCTCCAAAGGCAGGCCCTTCCGCCAGCCCTCCCACAAGAACTGTACGTGGGGGAGTCCCTGGGGAAATGGGGAGGGGGCAGCAGAGTGGGGAGTGGGCAGCAGGGCTTCCCCTGCTTCCCTGTGTGACGTTGACAGGCCTTGGCCTTTGGGGAGCGTGGGCAGCACGTGTTCCCACCTGGCTCAAGGGGCTTGACTACATGGTCTTTGGGGACCCCTCCAGACGCAGAGGGGCCCCCTGTGCCGCTGTGAAGTGGGCCATTGTAGGGAAGGGGCTCCCAGCGCCCCTTGTGCCAGAGAGTGGGACGTGTCCTTGAGGGGAGAGCTTCAGAACACCCCCCCCCCCGCATTTCTCTCACCTGCAGATCTCTTTGTGGTCTCAGTCATTGTCCTGACTGCCGTGGTCCTCCTCATCCTCCTGGACCTGGTGGGCCCCATCAACACTTTCCTGGAGGTAAGGGGGAACCACACTGCTGCTGCTGCTGCTCCTGCACCCTCCCCTCCTCGTGCCTTCCCCACCTTTGCTCCCTTGCCTTTGGGGTGCGCTCTCTTAGGGGGCTCCCCCCCCCTGCCCAGAGCAAGCCCACTCCCTTATGGTCAACCCTTCACCACTCCCCTCCACCTTTGAGGCCTGACTTGCCGTGCTTTGGGATGTGTGGGGAGAAGGGGGAAGAGGGGCTGATGTTGGGGTGGGGGTCTCTCTGCCCAGGAGCCCGAAGCCCCCTCCCCTCCAGGTGCAGCAGCCTTCCAGGGGCAGAAGGACCTTTTTGTGGGTAAAAGACCCTCATGCAGGCATACAGCAGGCATATTGCTGTTCTTTTGGGGGCCCACTCCCCCCCCCCCCAAGTTCTATCCCAGATCAGAAGCCGCTGCAGAAGTCCAGAGAGTGCTAAAGAAGCAGGCACAGACAAAGGAACCTTCCTTACCCCCCCCCTCCCCCAATGAAGGGTGGAAGAATGCTGAAGGCATGAACCACAGACCACTAAGAGCGCTCCAGAGGCCTTGCGGACACGTGGCTTTAATAAGAGGGGAATATGAGGGGAATGAGTCATGTCTGCTCCTTCAGGAGCTGTCTTCCTGCCTGGCATTGAGAGAGAGAGAGAGAGAGAGAGATGGCCCTTTCCTCTTTGCCCCCTGGGAGCCTTTCTAAAGGGCAAAAAGAAGAAAAAACGAGGAGAGCCAATAGAAGAACCAAAAGCAAAAAAGAAGAAACAGAAGAAGAACCAGAAGAGGAACCAGGAGGACCTGAAAGAGAAAAAGAAAGAACGAAAGACAGAAAGCAAGAATGAAAGAAAGAAAAAACAAAAGAAAAAAACTAAAGAAAGAAAGAACGGAAGAAAGAAAGAAAGAAAGAAAGAAAGAAAGAAAGAACAAACGAAAGAAAGAAAGAATGAATGAACAAAAGAAAATGATGTGAAGAGAAAGAAAAAAAGAAAAAAAGAAAGAAAGAAAGAGAGAGAGAGAGATGGCCCTTTCCTCTTTGCCCCCTGGGAGCCTTTCTAAAGGGCAAATTGGGAGCATTGACTGACCCTTTGTGGGCCTCCTCCCTTTGGACCGGAACCCAAATGCCACTCCTCTGCTGCCCCCCCCCCCCAGGCCTCACCTGAGCAGGGAATGCCTTGGCTCCTTGGTGCTGGTCCTCGTCCCCTGCCCAAGGCTTCCACTCTCAGGAGAGCCATGTGTGGGCGAAGCGGGGGGGGGGGGGGGAGATCATCCAGCGGCCCTTTTGAGCAGCTAGGAATTTGAGTGGCCCCCTCCCCAGCTGGAGTGAGCCAGGTCCAAAGGCCTTTTGGAGTGGTCACCTCAGAAGAGTCTGGCTGGAAGGTCAAGAGATGTCCCTCCCTTTGGCGATGACTCCTGACCCAGAGGCTGAGGCCCCTCCTGGCATGAGAAGGGGTGCACATGGCAAAACAAAGAAGGAAGGCTGCCCCTCTCCCCCCCCCACCGACCCACATGCACTCAAGCCCTTGTGTGTGTTTTTCCCTGTGTGCCTTTGTCTTGCAGCTGGTCTGCCTGCCCTCCAACTGGCGGGTCACCATCCTCCTCCTGGCCGTGGCCAATGCCTTCGTCTCTATCCTGGTGGAGGTGAGTGGCTAGCCCTAACCCTTTGGGGCAAAAGGCGGGGCTGCAGGTGGGACTGGCTGTGGGTGAGGCGTATTCAGGTTGAATGGTCGTCTAGTCAGGTGCTTCAGGTTTCTATACTCAGGAAGCAGGTGCAGGTTCTGAAGAGTTGGACTCGCCACACGTTCCCCATCGTGGTCCCTGTGAATCGCACATATACAAACAGTTCGGAACCTTCTAGAAAACTTATTAGACACTTTTAGGCAGTAGCCCCGCCCACTCTCCCCATAGAGTATATAGCCAGTGTTCTGGGAACGGGGACCGGGAGGCAGAGGGAGTTGCCGTTAGGCACAGTCACCTTCCCATTGGCTCTCAGTCTTCATACAGGCCATCCCCGAGTTACAAACATCCCACTCCTAGTTAAGAACATGGCTGAGAGAACAGGAAGTGAGAGGAGGAAGGAAGGGAGACCCACTCTGGGAAGAGTTCTTATTATTGGGGGGAAAGGGTCTCTTCAGAAGCTTTCTCTCCAATCCTTGTTTCCCAAAATCCCATGCTCACAGGGACAGAAAGTGAAGGGCCAGCTTCTGAAGGCAGCAAAGGAAGCCCCACGGGGGTGTTACCCCTTCCCTTTGCCATCCAAAGCTAATAGGCACATCTATTTAGCTGGAGTTACGCTTCAAACATGTCCCGGTTCCAACTTACAGACAAATTCAGCTTAAGAACAAACCTGCAGAACCTCTCTTGTTTGTAACCTGGGGGCGACCTGTATTTGCCTGAGGGCTGAGAAGGGTGGTATACAATTACAGTGAATAATAAATAAATACCCCCCTGCTTTGAGGCTGTCCTGAGTCTCAGGGATGAGACTGCCTATTGCTTCTCAGGGATGAGAAGGGTGGGGTATAAATATAGGAAATAAATAAACTAAATAAATATTCTGACGGGACCGGCCTGGGAGCCTCACGGGGTTGTGCGGAATGTTAGCCCCAGAAACCACCTTTGGGGAAGGGAGGGAGGGAGGGGTGTGTGAGAGAGACCCGTCCTGAGTGACCTGCCATCTTCTTGGTCCCCCTCCCCTTCCTCCCCCTCCTCCGGACCGCGCAGAGCCTCCTCCTGGAGACGCTCCTCTGGAGAGTCCTCTTCAGCCGGGACAAGCAAGGGGAGCACCGCCTAGCGCCCTCTTCCTCCTCCTCCTCCTCTTCCTCTTCCTCCTCTTCCTCTCACCCGCCACAGGTTGGAACGCTGTCTTTCTCTGCCTCTCCTTCTTGCATGTTGCTGCTGAGGCCCCGGGGACCTGCGGGCTGGTTTGGGCGGGATGTGTGTGAATCCACCGAGTGGCCCCTTGGGCCACTTTTGCTCTCTGGTGCGGGTGGGGGCCCCCCAGTTCTCTCCCTCTCCTCTCCTGGCCTTGTTCCCAAATGCTTGCTCTCTGGGAGTCACATTCCTCCTATGAGGTAGGATGGGTGGAGTCCTATGGAAAGTCAGGCTCCCCCCCCCCCCCCCCCCCCCCCCCCCGGACCCCACGGGACAAGGGTGGAGGGGCGGGTCCCTCCAGGGCAGCCAGGCACCTGCTTTGCATGCTTTGAGGGCCTGGCTGCGAGGGCGCCTGGGGGGCGATGGGCTTCCGGCTGGCCCAGGGCCTCAAAGCGTCGCTCCCGCCCTCCATGCTCTCTTCTCTCTCCCTCCCTCCCTAGGAGACCCTGGGCCGGTGGCGCTGGTGCGCCCTCCCTGTGCTGCTGCGCTCCCAGAGGAAGCCCCCCAAGGCCCGGTACGCCCACTTGGCCCAGGAGCTGCTGGTGGACCCCGAGTGGCCCCCCAAGCCCTCCACCACCACTGAAGCCAAGGCCCCCCCTGGGCACCGGAACGGTTCATCCTGCCACGTCATCACCGTCACGTAGCACTCGCTCTGACCCCCTCCTCCCTTGGCTCCTGTGGCATGACCTTCCAAGGACACGTCCCCAGCGTCCGGCCTGGACTGACCCACCGCTTCCCCGGTGGTGGCCCTTTTGTCTGTCTTTCAGTTGGATCCCCAGCTCTTGGTCCCCCCTTCGAGGCCCGTGTTCAGGCTGCACTTTGGGAGACCTGGTTCCTGTGGGACCCCCACATCTGGGCGGGGGGTGGGGGGGCTTCAGCCACATTGGCGCACAGGAGCGTCCTGCCTGGGGCGGATGAGGGGCCGCTCTGCTCTGCCGCCTTTGGATCCGGACACGGGGCTTTTGCCACAAATAATCCCAGGGCGGATGGTGGCGAGTCCAAAGGCGAAGCCCACTCTGCCTGTCCCTCCAGCTCTGGGGGGAGCCGTGCTCAGGACCCCCCTCTCCCTATGAGGGACACCTCCCACCCCTAGAAATCCTCTCCGGAGGGGGGAGGGGAGGTGCTTCCGGGGTCTGCCAAGCGCACAGCCTTCTGGGCCATCTCCTCACCACTTGGCCACCCACTGTGCCTCTGAGGGAGGGACCCCCGTTGGCCCACCCTTCTAAAGTGGGGGGGAGTCACAGAATCGGGTGCAAAAGGGTGTGTGCATGTGTGGCAAAGTCAGTTCTAGGGTGGGCTACGCATATCACACGCAGCCTCCGCAGACCTGCTGGGTCTGGATCTGAAGAGGGACCAATCTGCAGGCCCACAAGGGGGGGAACCAGGGGTTCTGTGCCGGGCAGTTTGGGGGGGGGGGTCACAGTAGTGTAAGCACCAGCTGGGGGGGGGCAGAGGGGGCCCCACCAAAAAGGCCCCACAAAACAGCCACGAGTGAGCATTTTCTCACTTTGTACCTCAATAGAGGGGGACGGGGTACCCAGCTGCCTTTCTTCTGCAGGAGATTGCAGAGCCCCCCCCCTTTTCCACAGCAATGCTGAGGGGCCCCCTGCTCAGGAGGGGATGCAAGAGGAGGAGGGGGGTCCCTTTGGTTACCCCGTACCACCCCCGTGCCCCCCTCTCCTCCTGCCCAGAATACCTGGCTGGTTTGTTCCTCCACCCATGAAGCTATGCACCCTTGACCTCTAAACTGTGACCCGCACAGCCCTGACCTCCTTGCACAGGCGTGTTGCCTCTCTCGTTGCGTGTGCCTCGGAGCCGTAGACCCCACCCTCTTTGGAGTGCAGAGTGGCATGGGGGGCTGCCCCTTGGGCTCCTTGTGGGGGGGGGATTGCCTTTCCCTCCTCATTCCCAAATCAGATGCACACAGAGCCCCTCCCCATGCAAATACTAGAACTGGGGGTGGGGTGGGTGGGCTGGTGCAGTGGTGGCCCCCTAGACCCTGCTCAGCTCTGGCCCCCAGTGGCCTTTGACCCTGACTGTGCTGAGTGGATCTTGTGGGCCCCTTTCTTTGGCGGGACCCCCACAACACTCCCTGGGTGCTGAAACGCATACGGTTGCGAGGAAGGGGCACAGCGCTTGACGGGGGCCCCTCCGCCAGACCGCCGGCTCCCCTTGACCACTAGGATCCCCCTTAAATTATTGGCCGTTCCCCCCCCCCCCCCCCCCCCCACAAATCTCCTCTTTTGGGCAGGTTGGGATTGTAAATAGGGTCTGTGGGCTATAGTTCCTCTCGTAATGATAATTTTAAGATATTTTTTATTATTTATGTGCGTCCCGGAAGGAGGAACGGCGCTTCTCGCGGGTGGAGCGGCTCCGGAACGAGGCTTTTCTCAAAGGAAGAGCCGGGTTTTTTAAAAGGATCGTCTGTCCCTCAGGGTTGTTTTTACAAAAGCTTTTCCTCCCCTTCGTTGCTCCCAAAGCAATTCACAAATGGCCCTTGTGGGGTGGGGTGGGGGGGACCCCCAAACTTGGGGGTGGGGGAGGGCCCCTCTCCCCATAGCCTGGCCCTTCCCCTTGGGAAGGGGCCACATGTTCTACTGACAGGTATTTATGTGCAGCAAGCAGTGAAGGTGAGGATGCGCGGTGGTCGGGGCTTGGTCCACGAGCCACGGCATCCCTTGCCTGTTGCAATCTTGCAAGCGGGGAGTTTTACGAAATTGCACTTGGTGGTTCTTTTCCGAATGTGTTGGGAATGTTTCTGGACACATGGGAGCGCATTGAAGCAGAGGATTGTGCTGAGGGTTTCTCTCTGACTGGGTGCGTTGATCTACTGTCGAATTAATCTACTGTACGCTGCAGCGGAGGAGCTCATGGGCGTGTATAGAAAGAGAGGAGGAGGAGGAGGAGGAGGAGGGCTTTTCCGGCTCTTGCTGCAGGGACCCCCTTCTCCCCCCCCCCCCCCCAATCTTCCCTCTCCTCCCTCAATTGCTGCAAGATTCAGGACTTTGCAAACCGGGCTCCTTCTTCGTGACTTCATCCCACAAAACTCCGAGTTGCAAGAGCAAAACGTCCGCCAAGGGCTTCTCGGTGTCTCCAAATTGGTAGTTTTGCTGCCCTGTAATGGCAGCTTTGAGAAAACGATTCCCCGTCAAGGCTGAAGCCTTTTTGGGTCAATTATGTCCTTCCACCACAACGCGGCGTCAGGGGCCCCGGAGGCTGTGCAAATTCTCCTCCGAGGAACACATCTCGTGCTGCTTTTATAATGGTACCCGGTTGTCATAAAGGCCTTTCTATGTAATTCAAAGAAATCAAACTTGCGTGATTATTCATCTCCCTCGGCTATTTGCAATTGACCAGGGTGATCCCCCCAACTTCCTGCACCCCTGGGCCCAGGCGGGAGGCTTCTTGGCCCCCCTTCTCTCCATTTCAGAGCTGAAGGGACCCCCAAGGGCCATCCGGTCCAGCCCCCTCCTTTCTTGCTTGCTTTCGGCCAGGCAGGAAGGACTCATCCAAGCCCTCCCGACAGACAACCACCCAGAGAAGGAATGGGATGGTGGCCTGCATCAAGAGGAGCCTAGTGTCTAGATCTAGGGAAGTCCTGCTCCCCATGCTCTGTTCCGCTTGGTTAGACCACACCTGGAATATTGTGTCCAATTCTGGGCACCACAATTCAAGAGAGATATTGACAAGCTGGAATGTGTCCAGAGGAGGGCGACTAAAATGACCAAGGGTCTGGAGAACAAGCCCTATGAGGAGCAGCTTAAGGAGCTGGGCATGCTTAGCCTGAAGAAGAGAAGGCTGAGAGGAGATATGATAGCCATGTATAAATTGTGAGAGGAAGCCACAGGGAGGAGGAGGGAGCAAGCTTGTTTTCTGCTTCCCTGGAGACTAGGGTCTGGAGAACAAGCCCTATGAGGAGGCTTAAGGAGCTGGGCATGTTTAGCCTGAAGAAGAGAAGGCTGAGAGGAGATATGATAGCCATGTATAAATATGTGAGAGGAAGCCACAGGGAGGAGGGAGCAAGCTTGTTTTCTGCTTCCCTGGAGACTAGGACGCAATGGAGCCATGGCTTCAAACTACAAGAGAGGAGATTCCATCTGAACACGAGGAAGAACTTCCTGACTGTGAGAGCCGTTCAGCAGTGGAACTCTCTGCCCCGGAGTGTGGTGGAGGCTCCTTCTTTGGAAGCTTTTAAACAGAGGCTGGATGGCCATCTGTCAGGGGTGATTTGAATGCAACTTTCCTGCTTCTTGTCAGAATGGGGTTGGACTGGATGGCCCATGAGGTCTCTTCCAACTCTTTGATTCTATGATTCCTCTCTGGTTCCCTGGAGACTAGGACGCAATGGAACAATGGCTTCAAACTCCAAGAAAGGAGATTCCATCTGAACATGAGGAAGAACTTCCTGACTGTGAGAGCTTCAGCAGTGGAACTCTCTGCCCCGGAGGGAGTGTGGTGGAGGCTCCTTCTTTGGAAGCTTTTAAACAGGGGCTGGCTGGCCATCTGCCAGGGGTGCTTTGAATGCAATATCTCTGCTTCTTAGCAGAATGGGGTTGGACTGGATGATGGCCCAGGAGGTCTCTTCCCACTCTAGGATTCTAGGATTCTATGAAGGAAGGAAACTCGGCCAGACTTCCCGGGAGAAGTGGATTCCTCTCTCAAATAGCATTGACTGCCGTGATGTTCTTCCTAATGAGTGAAGAGGACTTTCTTCTCCTGCAGCTTGAACCTATTCCTTTTTTCTGTCCCGGCCCCAAGAGCGGCAGGAAACGAGCTTGAGATTTGGGGCTAAAGGGGGGGGGGGGGGGGGGGGGGGGGGGGGGGGGGGGGGGGGGGGGGGGGGGGGGGGGGGGGGGAAAGAAGGAGGGGGGGGATTGGGGGGGGGGGGGGGGGGGGGGGGAATCTATTCCTTTTTTCTGTCCCGGCCCCAAGAGCGGCAGGAAACGAGCTTGAGATTTGGCTGGGCTCCGGCTAAAGGGAGGAGGGGATTAAAACAGAAAGGTCCAGAATCGCCATCAGAGGTGGACCAGATCCTGCTCATCTTGTGGACTTTGAAAAACCCAGCGGAGCTGGCTGGCTTCTGAAGGGGAAGGAGGGGGAAAGTGCCGGGAAATGAAGGGAGGCAGAAAGGGGCTCCAGGTGCAAAAACGAGGGGCTGATGAGAGAGTGGAGGCCAGGTGGTGAGCAGGGGGACACAGCAAAGGGCGTCTCCGGTCAAAGAGAGTGGCCCTCGCCCTCCATCCCATCTTCTCAACCAGCATGGCCATTTCAGAGAATCTTAAGAGTTGGAAGAGACCTGATGGGCCATCCAGTCCAACCCCCTGCCAAGAAGCAGGAATATTGCATTCAAATCACCCCTGACAGATGGCCATCCAGCCTCTTTTAAAAGCTTCCAAAGAAGGAGCCTCCACCACACTCCGGGGCAGAGAGTTCCACTGCTGAACAGCTCTCACAGGAAGTTCTTCTTAATGTTCAGGTGACAATAGTTGAACAACTATGTTCCATCTGAACATGAGGAAGAACTTCCTGACTGTGAGAGCCGTTCAGCAGTGGAACTCTCTGCCCCGGAGTGTGGTGGAGGCTCCTTCTTTGGAAGCTTTGAAACAGAGGCTGGATGGCCATCTGTCAGGGGTGCTTTGAATGCAGTATTCCTGCTTCTTGGCAGAATGGGGTTGGACTGGATGGCCAGGAGGTCTCTTCCAACTCTAGGATTCTATGATTGCGTCTTAGTTTTCAGGGAAGCAGAACACAAGCCTTCTCCCTAGGACTTCCCCTCACATGTTGATCCATGGCCCTCATCCTGTCTCCTCCACGCCTTCTCTTCTGCAGGCTAAACATGCTCAGCTCTCAGCCACTCCTCATAGGGCTTGTTCTCCAGACACTGGATCCTTTGAGTTGCCCTTTTCCTCTAGGCACCTTCCAGCTTAGAGTCAGTATCTCTCTTCAGTTGCAGGCCCAGAATGGGACACAGTGTGACTCCAGCTGCAATCGGGCCAAGGCAGAACAGAATAGAGCATGGGGAGCATGACTTCCCTGGACCTAGGCACTAGGCTCCTCTTGATGCAGGACAACATCACATTGGCTTTTTGAGCCATGGCATGACATTCCTGGCTCGTGTTCCCCTTCCTCCCCACGAGGTCTCCCAGATCTTTTTCACATCGTCCCCCATTCTGTATTCGTGCATTTCATTTTGGGGAGAACGTGGGCCCAGGGGAAGCATGGCAGGCCCACGGCTCACTTGGGAAAGGCTCATTTGGGGCCGCTGTGTCCTTGTTCCCCAAAGAGCCATGTCAAGTACAGCTGGCTGTGTGTTTTGAGGTTGGGGGGCTGGATTGAAATGGTGCCACAGGCAAAAAGGCCCTCTTGGCCCATTCATGATGCTGAGCGCAGTGGGACTCTGTGCGCTCCTTGTTCCACAGGCCCAGGGCTCGCTTCCCAAGCGGCCTCTTTCTTGCCAATGGCAACGGCCTCTTTCCCAGGCTGGCCTTGCCCTGATCAGGACCATCTGTCAGGGGTGATCTGAATGCAATATTCCTGCTTCTTGGCAGAATGGGGTTGGACTGGATGGCCCATGAGGTCTCTTCCAACTCTAGGATTCTATGATTCTATGACTTGGTGCATAGCAAAGCAAAGTAGAAGCAGGGGTGTTAGTGTTGGGGTGTGCTGCCAGGTCCCTCCTTTTCCAGTTGCCCAAAGGCCTCCAGGGTCTCCATCCAGTCGGACACTGGGAACAAGGAGATCGTTCCAACGGGTTTAAGAGTTTTCTCAGATCTTCTTCCCGGATGAAGCAAAGTAAAAGTGCCACACAAGACGGAGACACGTCAAAACCCCGAGCATGCCCTCATCCCTACCTCTTCCTTTGTTCCCTTCAGTGCAAAGATACAAATGGGGGGTGCCTGGCTCGAGAGCAGGACGTGTGAAAAAGATCTTGGAGTCCTCGTGGACAAAAGTTAAACATGAGCCAACAATGTGATGTGGCGGCAAAAAAAGCCAATGGGATTTTGGCCTGCATCAATAGGAGCATAGTGTCTAGATCTACGGAAGTCATGCTCCCCATGCTCTATTCCGCTTTGGTTAGACCACATCTGGAATATTGTGTCCAATTCTGGGCACCACAATTCAAGAGAGATATTGACAAGCTGGAATGTGTCCAGAGGAGGGCAACTCAAATGATCAAGGGTCTGGAGAACAAGCCCTATGAGGAGTGGCTTAAAGAGCTGGGCATGTTTAGCCTGAAGAAGAGAAGGCTGAGAGGAGATATGATAGCCATGTATAAATATGAGAGGAAGCCACAGGGAGGAGGAGGGAGCAAGCTTCCTTTCTGCTTCCCTGGAGACTAGGACGCAAGGGAACCATGGCTTCAAACTACAAGAAAGGAGATTTCATCTAAACCTGAGGAAGAACTTCCTGACTGTGAGAGCCGTTCAGCAGTGGAACTCTCTGCCCCGGAGTGTGGTGGAGGCTCCTTCTTTGGAAGCTTTTAAGCAGAGGCTGGATGGCCATCTGCCAGGGGTGATTTGAATGCAATATTCCTGCTTCTTGGCAAAATGGGGTTGGACTGGATGATGGCCCTGGAGGTCTCTTCCAACTCTAGGATTCTATGAAAAGTGCCACACAAGACAGAGACACATTTTCACTTGATAGTCAAAACCCCGAGCATGCCCACCTCAGGCTATTTCCTCCAGTCCGTGCTCCATCTCTACCTCTTCCTTTGTTCCCTTCTCTGGCCCCTCTGTTATTAGTTTTCTCCAAGGAGACCCACCCAGAGTAAGAATAAGGAGCCATAGTTGCAGAAGGCATGCCATGGTGCGCCCTGTACTGGGTGTGCATTGCACATCTCTCTCGTGCGGCCTCCCCTTCCACACCTGAGGCTTTGTGTCACTGTTCATTGAGCACAGAGTCACTCCCTGGCCCTCACTGCAAGTGGAAACAGCACCGGAGAGAGACCCCAAATGCCCAGACCAGTTGATGCTTTCTAGAGGGGAATGCATGCGTGGGCCTACAAAGAGGGACTCATTGCTGCTGCCTCTCTCTCTTCATGCTTCCCTTGCCATTTCGGGGGGGGGGGGGCTTGGTCCCTGGCCAGTTTTGGGAAAGCGCCCTGTGTGCAATGGGCCCCTCCCGCTTTGTCAAACACGATCCCCGCTGCAACAAGACGGAGGCGGAGAGGCCGTGTCCCTGGAAGATGTTTATTCTCCTCTTAAGCAGCTCCAGATGTTCTCCAAAGAGTTCCAGATTGGCCAAGAGCCTTTGGCGGTGCTTTCTTTGGCAGCCGAGGAAGCACAGATTAAGGCTGTTCTGTGTGGATGTGTG